GGGGGGGGGGGGGGGGGGGAGAGAGCACTCAAATCTGTTAATTCATTCCAAGCAAATCCTTAATTGAATAATTGGAATTAATGCAAAATGCCAAAGGCTAAAAGTGGAGCCATTCTTTTCCATTTGACATTCATCATGATTTCTATCGTTATACGTACAGTAAGGTTTCTTCTGAATGTTGTGGGTGGACAGTAAAGAACTCAACATGAAGAAGTGGAAATTAAAGAGCCACATCGTTATATGCAATAACAGGTGCTCTTTTCTTCAACCCACCTTAGCTGTTCGATAGCAGCCCTTGCTGCACCATTTATTTTCTTCTCTTTATATTGTACGTACAAGTCTCTTTTCTTTTCAGAATAAATAACATATACCCTCCCCTCCCCCCCCCCCCCCAACACACACTCTACCCCTTCATTGTCATTATACTTGGACTCGGTGTTATATAATATATGTAGCTGGCCCGCCCCCAAAAATAATAGCTGGCAAAATATATGTTTTTTGTATATTAATGTATAATATATATTTTTTTATATTTGGCTAGTGGATGTAATTATATTTGGTCGATCGTCCAAATGTGTAACTTGCCTTTAGTTTTCATTATAAAAATTAATTATGAATGTATATATTTTGATGATTATTACTACATTGAGTGAGTTTTCCACTTGGGAGAGACAAAATGGATGGACTAAGTGTTAATTTGATGGGACCAGATTACGCAAAATAGCCTTACGAACAAGAATTCCACGAAATCAGTTAAGTTATCAACTTAGTTTAAGAAATATTCACAGAGTAGAGAAGGAAATCCACTAGAGGCTCTTAATTAATGGCATGAAATTAATCATCTACTACATCATATATAAGACTAATTTTCAATAGTAGTGCGTTTAATACGCTACGTTTAATAAAGAAGCTTTAAAATTACAATAATCACAGACCAGTGGTGTAGGCAGAATTTTTAACAAGTGGTGTCAATGCTTGAAAAAAATAAACAAAAGAATAAATCACTATAACGATAAGCGATGTCATTTTCTATATTTATCCTCAATAATTTCATCTTTTTATATGTTTATAGTCAGATATCTCTATAACGATATTCCTATATTATAATCATTCACTATGAAAGTCAAGTTTTTTTCGGAATCGATTTTTATATTATGTTATAATATATATCCTCTATAACAATACTTCACTATAGCAGCCCAAAAATATCATAACAAACGAGGTTGTTATAGAGATGTTTGACTGTATTTAGTAAAATTCTGGACCAAAACCGCTTGTGAAAGGGTGTGTCCGCCCCTGTCACAGACTTTACCAAAAACAAGATAAATGAAAGAATAAATAAAGACAAGAAAAACGTTCAGGCAAAGTAGTTAATTAGCCCATGTTTTTAAAAACAATGGAGATTTAGAACTCGTAACACTACAATATAAATTAGAGAAATATTCATAAAGCACTATCTTTTAGTGGTAATTTGTTATAGGAGGTAAAAATTCCTATAAATTATATTCTTGACCATTTATCAAGGACATGTATGTTGAAAGGTGCGGAGCTATAATACTAGTAATGGGTTCGGACAAACCCAATAATTTTTATTTAGACTCTATATTTGTATTAGAAAATTCATTAGATATATATGTATAAAAATATTTTATTGCAAATTCAATAACTTAAACGAATTATGAATTTAATGATAATTTTATAACCCATAAACTTTAAATCGTGACTCTGCACCTATACGTTGGATTGTTCCACAAGGGCCAAATAGGTAATAAGCAGCAGATTAGATGAATATGAACATGGGTTGATACCAAAATAGCCTAACAACCTTAGATTCCACAACACACAAATGGCATGAACAGTAACATTCAAACAAAAGGGTTGCACGAGGTTCGTGCATTCTCCTTTTTTTCCAAACATCCTATAAATATAAAACCTCACCAGATGGAATCATATATCAGTACTCTCACTGACGTCCCCGATAAATTAAAATTGGCCAGCTTTTAATGTGAATATATATGCAATTTCATAGCGCTGGTGGAGTATTCCAAAGGGATCGCATTGATCCTGTGTCCCAATTAGAGTCCAATGGGATCATGCGATCTCTTCGGATTTCTCCATATTACTGGCTCTAAACCTAAAATCCATGCCCGCCATAGTGATCCAGGAGTCCCGCATGAAAGGCGAGCGTGCACTCTAAGGTGAGATTTATCATGTACTGTTATTTGTTTAATCCAAGAATTCCCCTTCTTTTCACCTTTGCCGAACCCTCTTTATCTATTACCACAACTCCCATATAGGTAGCCAGGTAGGTAGTCTTCTACAAGTCGCATTACTGATTGATATGAATCTCGCTTGTTCTTGTAACCAAAGGACGCTTCTCATTTCCTCCAAGTCTTGTTTTTTGTGAATGTACTATAAACTGCAAGGGTGGAAAAATGCAAAAGCTGTTTTAATATTGTGATTTGCGAATGCTCGCTGTTCGTCCTCTTGGTTCAAAATAATTGCAGCCTCATTCAACTCCACTGTGCTTTTTTGTTAAAAGTTCTGTTTAGCTGTTGGAGATTGTTGGCAGCATGAATTGTGAAATGCTAAAAAAAAGTTTAGTATAAGTTGATTTTTTTTTTGGTTTTCCGCATGGTGTTCAGTATTTGGGATCTCCGACTAATTTGAGGTCGCTCTGTGTAAGGCCCATTAAAGAGGGAAGCGCTCCCTACAATTATTTTTTTAATTCCTAGGGGTCGAATCCGAAACCTTTCGTATATGCTGATTGTTGATTCAATCAATCTGGCGTGTTATATTTTCTTTGTTCCTATTCTTGTCTTTTTTTCGATCTCCACCCTTCTTTAAATTCGCCCGATATCCAATCAGATTTTTCCCCTCAAGGTCTCGCTCTTCTTCAAGGTTTTCCAGTCAAGTTAAATAAGCTTCAATGTATAGATCACCTTAAAATGCAGCATAGATTTGTCCAAAGAGCGATTAACGATCTCTTCAGTATGCAAGAATTAGTAGGATTACATGAGTCTTCTCTGCTTGGATATTTGTTTAATTCTAGTTCTTTTAGAATCATGATTTAAAGTGCTATTAGTAGCTTTGCAGAAAGAGAACTCCACAAGCAATTGGAACATTAAATAAGGAATTCAATATATGGAGACAAACTTAGGAGTTCGCTCTTTCGAAATAATAATGAAATTTGACGTGTATAGTTGAAACTATACATTCTCTCATAGCTAGCATATGTTCTGCGTGCACATGATGATCGACGAGTTTCCTCCGTTCATCATAAATGAATTCCTTTGTCTTGTAATTGAAGAGACATAGACTAAGTGCAATTAAAGATTCATGTAGGTTGACGTAATGCACACTTACTGTTTATGTTACTTGAACTCTTCAAAGATAGTCGGATCTTCCAAAGAGGTATTTTATTTTAGGATCCGACATTAGTATTACTCCATCTATTTTAATTCATGTGAACCTATTTTCTTTTTAGTCTATGCTAAAAAGAATGACATCTTACCACAATTTCAAAAATCTTTTTTTTACACCACAAATTCAAAAATCTTGTTCTTTTTTTTCTTAAACTCTATGCCCAGTCAAATAAGTTCACATAAATTAAAATGGAGGGAGTAACTTTTATGGAGAGTCCAAATAACATAGCTTGTTATAGCAATATAGTGACAATCATATCTGGAAAAGCTTTTGCCAATTACTTGTCTTGAATATGATGGAAAGATGCTGGAAAAACTAGTAAAAGGTGTTCTTTTCTCTAGGGAAGAAAACTGTTAGGATCAAAATAATCAGGTGTCACGACCCCAATTTTCTCTGTAGGATGTCGTGATGGCACCTAGTGATATGTTACAAGTACCTTGGTTATAAGTACATTGTTTTATGTTTTGATGATCTAACAAACTTACTATCCAGAACCAGATAAGGAACCTGTTATACATTATCAAGATCTTAAGATCACAAGGTTCCAGGTTGGGATCCAGTTTGGGATATGGCTCAACTCTTCAGAGTCGAAGGAACAGCTAAGGGAACATGTCCCTACCAACTCCCGAGGTGACTGTACGAAGTCAACTCTCCAGCTGGAAAAGTTGCTGCCTGCACACGCTACAGTACAGGAACAACGCAACAGTCAATTTTCTGGAGAAGGCTTTTTACCTACCTTGCTTACATCATTGTAAGTGATGTCACACACGTATTATTAACATCAGGGAAGGTAAAACAATCACTTGAACACTTAGAGATTTTTACTCAAGCTCTCTCACGTGATCATCCTGTAAGTAATTCTCAAGTGCATCAAGAACAAACAACAAAACAACTACGGACCAGTTCCCACATCAAGTTATTGTATGTCCTTAGTTGAGTTGTAACTTTCTAATAGTTCTTCTAGTGTAATTCCTACTTAGCTTGTTTAGAAGTGTTCTGTAGGAAACTCTTGTAAATCTTAGGCCTTTGTATTTGAGTCTTGGCTAGAGTTAGTAGAGTTGTGAAATCTTTGTAATAGAGGTATTACAAAGTGGCTTGTAATAGAGTATTACAAGTTAGAAAGGGATTAAGACGTTAATTCCTAGATTACATAGGTTGTAATCTAAAAGTTGCTCAGTAGTGAAGTTGAAATCCTACAAGGGTAGGTCGTGGTTTTTAATCCCGTTGAGCTGGGAATTTTCCACGTAAAATTCCTCTTGTTGTCTACTTACTGTAGTGTGCGTGTGTTTTGTTGAAACTGATAGAGAACATGATTCTCTATAGAGTTTGGTGGATCAATATTCTATCAATTGGTATTAGAGCAGGTTATTTTTATCAGGTTAACACCTAGAAAGGATCCTCATGGCTGCTCCTCCAAACTTCGAAGAAGGGTAGTCTACTTACAGACCTCCAAGGTTAAACGATCAATATTATGGATGGTGGAAGACTAGGTGGCACGACATCTTCATGGATGAAGATTCTGAGCTATGGGATGTCATATGTGACAGACCCTTTGTCTCTTCCAAGAACCTTGGCGACCCAGCTGTAGCCATTCCCAAGACTAGGAAGGTATTCAATGATGCTGATCGAAAGGCGGTAGAGAGGAATTTTCGTGGAAAGAAAATTCTTGTTTGTGGCATTGGTCCTGATGAATACAACAGGATATCAGCATGTTAGTCAGCCAAGGAAATTTGGGAATCTCTTCAGACATCTCATGAAGGAACAATGCAGGTTAAGCAATCCAAGATAGACATGCTTACAACTGAATACGAGCTTTTTAGGATGAAAGATGATGAATCTATTCAAGATATGCATACCCGGTTAACCTCTATCATTAATGAGATTTACTCTCTTGGTGAAATTATTCCAAGAAATAAGCTTGTCAGAAAAATCCTCAGTGTTCTGCCCAGTTCTTGGGAAAGCAAAGTGAATGCCATTATAGAGGCTAAGGATTTGCAGGAGCTAACCATTGATGAGCTTGTCGACAATCTAAAAACATATGAAATGAAGAAAAAGAAGGACAGTGAAAGAAGAGAGCCCACAAAAGAGAAGAACATGGTCCTCAAGACAAACTGCATTAGTACAAGTGATGAGGATAGTGATATGGCTTACATAACAAGAAGATTCCAGAAGATGGTTCGCAGGAATGGAGGCATTCCAAAAAGGGAAAGTTCCAGCAAGCGAAAAAATTATGACCTCTGTCATAAATGTGGCAAGCCAGGACGTTTCATCAAGGATTTCCCTCTCCTAAAGTAAGATCAGTACAAAAACAACTTTGACAAAGTAGCCAAGAGGAACCCGGTTCCTGATAAACGCTTTAATAGGAAAAATACCGCTGACAACGTTATTAAACAAGATCTTGCTGCATGGGGAGACTCCTCTAGCGAATTTGAAGAAGAAAATGATCATGGTGATAGTTCAATGATGGCAGTGGAAAGTGAAGAAACTGAGTATGATTCAATCTTTGCCTTGATGGCTCAGTGTGATGATGATGAAGATGATGACGATGATGAGGTAAATTTTCTGGATGTTCAGAGAAATCTAAAATCTTATTCTCCAAAAAAAAGTCATATCATTGGCGAATGTATTAATTGATACTTATCACAGTCTTATAAATGATAAAGATACTTTGACTGTAGAGTTAGGAGAAGCAGAACAGACCAGAGATGACCTAGTAGTTGCTGTAGTTGATCTAAAAGAAACAATTGAGAACCTGAAGAAAGATAAGGATGCCTTAGATGAAAAAATTACAAATGTAGAACAAGGAAGAGATGACCTAATGGTTGTTGTGGTAGACCTAAAAGAGACCATTGAGAGTGTAAGTAGGGAAAAAGATGTCTTAATTGAGAGAGTTGCTAGAATTGAGCATGAGAGAGATGACCTACTAGTGGTGGTAATGGATATGAAGGAAACAATTAGGGAACTTAAAATGGAGAGTAGGCCTGAAAACTCACAAAAAGGAAAGGAAGTTGCAAGCGAGGCACACTAAGCTTGAAAGTGAGTTAAATTCAGTGAAGTCTAGACCATGTGCTGAGCTTGAGAAAAACAAACAACTTCAGGAAGAACTAGGTAGAGTGAAGAGAGATCTTGAAAAATCACTCAAGTGAACCTGGTCCTCTGATGCTATCACTGCCATGTACACCTGCAATGAGGGAAACATGCATGGGATTGGGTTTCAAAGGGAAAATATTCCCTACAACCCTCATAGCAAGTACGTTACTGTACCTGACAATTGGCTTTACACTCACTGCGGTAACAATGGGCACCTTAAAGAAAACTGTAAGGCCAGATTTCAGTCACATCAGAAAAACAAATCTTTTGTTGAAAAATTAACTACTGGTAGAGAACCTGGTCCCTCATATAAAAAATGCATGATTCCTGCATGGACCAAAAGATCCCTTATTCACCCCTTTCCTCATTACAAGGGACCCAAATTAGTTTGGGTTCCTAAAACTATCTTCTGATTTTCTTGTGTAGGGAACAGTGAAAGGAAGCAACCTACAATGGTACATGGATAATGACTGCTCAAAGCATATGACTGGAAGTACAAATGATTTCCTTTCACTTAAGGCCCTGCAAGGAGGGAGTGTATCCTTTTGAAATGGCAAGAAAGGATACATTCTAAGAGTAGAAAGGATTGGGAAGTCTCTCTCTCACTAAATCAAAAATGTGTACTACGTGAACGGGTTGAAGTACAGCTTGCTAAGCATTTCCCAAATCCGTGACAAGGGAAACAAGGTGGAATTTGTGTCAGAAATCTGTACAGTCACAAACCTAGTGACTTTTGAGGTGGTGTTAGTGGCAAAAAGATACAAGAATATCTATGTAGCTGATTTTGAGTGTCTGAAGAATGGTGATCTAAGCTGTCTAAGTGATGTTGATGATGATGCTGAATTATGGCACAGGAGGCTGGGTCATGCAAGTTTCACATTGCTGAACAAGTTAGTCAGGAATGACCTGGTTCGTGGTCTGCCCAAGTCAAGCTTTGAGGATCACAAAGTATGTGATGCATGAGTAAAGGGGAAGCAAGTCAGATCCTCATTCAAGCCCAAAAAGGAAGTTAGCACCTCAAGGCTACTTGATCTCCTTCACATGGATCTATGTGGACCTTTGAGGGTGCCAAGCAGAGGAGGAAAGAAGTACATCTTTGTGATAGTTGATGACTATTACAGATTCACCTGAACTTTGTTCCTCAGGACCAAGGACGAAACCTTTGAAGTATTTGTTGCTTTTGTCAAGAAGATCCAAGTGAAGATGGGTAATAAAGTAGCCTGCATTAGGTCTGATCATGGGACAGAGTTTGATAATGTCAAATTTGATGAGTTCTGCACTGAAAATGGTATCACTCACAATTTCTCAGATCCAAGAACACCTCAACAAAATGGTGTTGTGGAGAGGAAGAATAGAACTCTTGAAGACATGGCAAGAAAAATGCTAATTAACAGTGGGATCACAAAGTATTTCTGGGTAGAAGCTGTCAATACTGCTTGCTACTTGGTGAACAGGTGCATGATCAGGTCCCTTATGAACAAAACGCCATATGAACTACTGAATGGAAGGAAACCCACACTGACACATCTATGGACTTTTGGGTGTAAATGCTTTATTCACAACAATGGAAAGGAAGCTCTCGGAAAATTCGATGCCAAAAGTGATGAAGGAATTTTTCTGGGATACTCATCTCAAAGCAAAGCTTACAAAGTGTACAACAAAAGGACTCCATGTGTTGAGGAAAGTATACATGTGATCTTTGATGAAGCTCACCTCTCCTGTGAGAAGGACAGACGTGTTGATCAGGATGCAGTGCCCTTATCTGTTCCAGGTGAAGTTATTGACATTGTAAATGGAAAAGCAGACATGATGAGCCATGGCAAGGAATCCAGTGAAGATGATGCAAATACATCTCTATCCATTGGAGAGGAACCTGGTCCCCCGATTACAACAACTGAAGCTGAAAACAGAGTTGTTGATGCATTCCAAGGTACTTCACTTGCTGAAGTAAGAAGCGCCCAAGAACCTCAGTCAGATATACCTGGTTCCTTTACCAATGAGATTCAGGTACCAAATTGGAAGCACAAAAGCTCACATCCTCTTGACAACATAGTCACTCCTCTTGACTCAGGAGTTCAAACCAGATCAAAAGCAAGAAACTCACTTTCCTTCTCAGCCTTTCTTTCCCAAATAGAGCCCAGAAATATCAAAGAAGCATTGAAAGATACAGACTGGATCACAGCCATGTAAGAGGAGCTGCATCAATTTGAAAGGAACAAGGTATGGCACCTGGTTCCTCGACCTACAGATCGAACTATCATTGGAACCAGGTGGGTATTCACGAACAAACTTGATGAGTTTGGAAATACAACGAGAAACAAGGCAAGGCTTGTAGTTCAAGGCTACAATCAGGAAGAATGGATCGATTATGATGAAACAGTTGCTCCAGCAGCTCGAATGGAAGTCGAATGGAAGCCATTAAAATTCTAATTGTCTTTGCATCTCATATGGAGTTCACACTGTTCCAAATGGACGTAAAAAGTGTATTTCTAAATGGATATCTGAAAGAAGAAGTCGATGTCAAGCAGCCTCCTGGTTTTGAGTGTCACGAGCATCTTGAGCATGTGTTCAAACTGGACAAGGCATTGTACGGGTTAAAACAGGCTCCTAGGACTTGGTATGAAAGGTTGTCAAAATTCCTTCAAGAAAATGGCTTTACAAGAGGGAAAATTGACAACCCTCTTTTTTCTAAAAAAACATGGGAGGAACCTGCTCATTGTGCAGGTGTATGTTGATGATATCATCTTTAGAGCCACACCTAACTCTCTTTGTGAAGAATTTGCAAAACTCATGGGGAGTGAATTCGAGATGAGTATGATGTGAGAACTGAATTTCTTCCTAAGAATTCTAGTGAAGCAATCTCAGAAGGGAACATTGATAAGTCAGCACAAGTACATCAAGGAGCTGCTGAAAAGGTTTGATATGGAAGCATGAAAAGTAGTCGACACTCCCATTGCCACAGCCACCCATCTAGACATGGATGAACCTGGTTCCCCTGTAAATCAGACCATGTATAGAGGGATCATAGGTTCACTCCTGCATCTCACTATAAGTAGACCAGATATTGTCTTTAGCGTGGGTCTCTATGCAAGGTTTCAATGCAATCTTAAGGAATCTCATATGAAGGCTGCCACGAGAATACTGAGATATCTCAAAGGAATGCAGGACCTGGTCCTCTATTATCCCTCAGGCAACATCTTTGATCTTATTGGGTATGCTGACGCTGATTATGCGGGATATCTGGTGGACAGGAAAAGAACGTCTGGAATTGCACATTTCCTAGGCTCTTGCTCAACCTCATGGGGTATAAGGAAGCAGAACTCAGTGGCACTCTCAACTGTAGAAGCTGAATATGTAGCAGCTGCCTCTTGCTGTGCTCAACTTCTGTGGATAAAGCAACAGTTGGAAGACTTTGGAGTGTTCTCAGACTGTGTGCCTATCTTATGTGATAATACAAGTGCACTCAACATGGCAAAAAATCTAGTTCAACATAAGAGGACTAACCACATTGATGTACGTCATCACTTCCTCAGAGACAATGTTGAAAAAGGGCTTATATGCGTGAAATTCTGCAGCACTGAAGATCAAATTGCAGATATATTTATCAAAGCCCTGAGTAGAGAACACTTTGAGAAAAATCATCTGGCACTAGGGTGGATAAAACCCAATTGAGAACCTGGTCCCTCAAAGATTGGCGATGAAAGAAATTTTCAGGTAAAATTAGCTAAAAGGTATTTTCTAGCAAAGTCTAACTCATCTCTATACTGTTACAGGTAGACACGCTTGATGATTACAGAGAAAATAAGCAGTTGAGGCCGTATACGCTGGTAAAAAGGGGAAAGCTTACTGATACAAGATTAGTCAGGGAACTTGGTTCTCCTAACACAGGTTAGTAGCTTCTTTGTTCTCTCATGCATAATTTTGAATGATTAAAAAAAGTGCCATGTCATCAGCATGTCAGTTTTTAGTTTTGTGTCTTTTGAACCCAAACGTCTCATCCGTTAAAAAATCGACCCAACTCCCTAAAAACTGCCGTCCTTTCTAACCGGTCCTTCATTCATCATAAATACATCTATCACTGTCATTAAATTCTTCACATCAACACTTCAAAACATGTTTCTTCTTCTTCTTCTTCTTTCTCTCTTCAGTCTTCCAAATCGTCTCTCTTATTCTCACCATGGCTGAAAATGAAATAACCCCTAGCGTTCCAAGCAACACCCCCACTGAGTCCTCGCCAGTTGAAACACCAACCCTAGACTCCTCTCTCCACACTACTGCTAGCCAAAACCCTAGAGCAGAGTCACCTCCATATCCCGTCTCCTTTCCTACCCAATCGAGTTCCGATTCTCAAAGGAGTCGCAAAATATCGACTCCCAAAAGATTTGTAGCCCATAGCTCTTCTCCTACTTCACCAGAAAAGGGGGATGAAATGAGTACTGCTACGAATGACAAAAATCAGGAAATCTTAAGTTCTCCTATGTAAGAAAGGTCAAAGGTAGATCAAACTGAGGGGTTTGAAAATGTTGACTCAACAAAGACTGCTCTTGATCCCGTGTCCACAGGTAACACTCCTACTTCTCCTGCGTTTCCCAAGGACTAACAAGAAAAGGAAGCTATAGAAAATACGCTATCCATAGCTAATGAAGGGGTTTTGGTCAAGGGAAGTGAGGATGGTCTTAAGACTCAGGGGGAAGATTCTGTGACTGCTGGAGAGGGTAATGAGCTTGTGCCTGTTAAACTATCGTCAGGAAGGTGTTACTGGGGAACCTGCTGGAGGACCTGATCCCCCTTCGGAGGATCCAACTCAGGGGTTCTCTTAGGAACCCTAGGTTAGTGCTGACCCTGCTCCCTCTCCTTATTTAGATGCTGAGCCTCTGAGTGTGGTTGTGCCTGAGATAAGACCTGTGCCTGAAGAACAAAAGGAGGATAGTGTAGGGGATTCTGATGATTTACCAATTTCCAGTTTCCCTAGGGGTATATTAGTTGTTGATGAAGAGCCAACTCCTATGCGACCCACAACAAGGTTGCAAAAGAAGGATGCTCTTGAGTCTGTGCTTAAGAACAGTGAAGCAAAGTCAATGAGAAGAAAATTAATGAAAGATGTCAACGTTATAAATGAGAAGATAGTGCCTGTTGTTAATGTGGATGAGGAAGAAGCCGAGGAACCTAGTTCCTTGACTAGGAAGTTGTCACAGAAGCATGGTCTCCCCATCCAAAAGAGGGATATTCTGTTTCTTCTAAAAGTTTGACTATGTCTGATGATGCTGTTTCTACTAAGAATGTGCTAAAAGAATTAGCTGATATATCTGTTAAGTATGATAAAAAGGAGAAGAGTGTTCGCAAGTCCGCTAAGAAAAAAGCTGATACCGATGAGGAACCTGGTTCCTCAAAGAAGGCCGGAGTTGGTGATCCAGGGAGTGCCGAGAAAGAGAGATTGAGAAGTCAAAAAGTGCTTTGGGGTCGCACATTTGCCCCTGATGTCTTGGAGAAGGCTGGTATGAGATAGTTGGTTGAGATCTGCGAGTTCCAACAATGGACACACTTGTTCACAAGTGATGCTACTAAGGTATATGAGGAGGAAGTTCAAAGTTTTTATGCCGACTTGTTCAAGGTTGTGAATGATCACATTTGTGCCTTGGTGAATGGAGTTTATATGGTAATGGACTCTGCCTTGTTAGGGTTTATTCTTGGCGTGCCTGCTGAAGGGCTGTCTAGTGTTTAGGGAGCTTGTACTCAAAACTTCAGAAACACAATCTTGAAGGACAAAGCAGTTCAGCAGGGGGAACGGGTTCAGAAGAAGGCCCTCCTTCCTGTATACCAACTGCTATTTGAGATGGAGAACAAAGTATTGCTGCCTCGAGCTGAGAGAAGATCTATCACTTCTCGTACAGACCTGTTCCTCATGGAAGCACTGGACAACTTCACTACCATCAATCTGCCTGTGATCATGATAGAGCACATGAATAAAGTGGTAGACTTTAAAGATGGTAATCATAGGCTGCCGTATGCGTTCCTTGTCACCAAGGTCTTTGAGCACTTCAAGGTTCCTCTAGGACTAGCTAAAGTGGGCACCGCGAAGCAAACTTTTTCAAAAGCCACTCTTGAAGAATGTGAGTGTATAGAGAAAGTTGGAGGGGTTGGAAAAACTTCTACTATATCTCAGTTATTAAATGCTCAAAATAGTGCTACTACTGAGATAAGGCAATTGAAAGCAAGGAATGCTATCCTTGAGACTCGGTTAAGTCAGCTGTAAGAGGCACCTGGTTCCAGTAGCTCTCAAACCGAAGAGGTTGCTGCTTGATAAAGGAGAACGCTCAGGAAACAAGTGGAGGACCTGAAAGAGAGACTGCTCAATGAGCAAATGTCACCAAATGCTCGAATGGATTTAGTCCTCCGAACCATTGCCGCTGCGTCCAAGCCTTCTCCTTCCAGTGCTCCTTAAATACTGCCCACTCAATGTCAAGTCTATAATCTAGTTTGCGGTCAAGTCCCTCAGTGTCAGCTCTTATGATGATAACTTGTTGTATTTTTGTTGATTGTTCTAAATTGTGGATGTGGTAGTAACATTGATTCTGATCCTGCTGTAAAATCCAAATTATGTTAATGCAAGCTTTTCCCTTTTTGCTATTTATACCTTGCTTTTATGCTCTATTTTTAGTCATGATTGTGTGCACATTAGTAGCATGAGTTAACTTAAAGATAGACTTCCTTCTTGCTTTAATGCCTATTACTGATCTTTTTATGATGCAAAAAGGGGGAAGAATAATTACATTGTGATTTGCACTGATTAAGGGGGAGTGAAGAGATTCAGGGGGAAACTTAAGGTCTTCCTGGTTTATTGTCTGGTTCTGTGTGGCTCTTTGTGGGATTTTTAATTATGAGTTTGTCATCATCAAAAAGGGGGAAATTGATAGGTTACAAGTACCTTGGTTATAAGTACCTTGTTTTATGTTTTGATGATCTAACAAACTTACTATAAAGAAGCAGATAAGGAACCTGTTATACATTCTCAAGATCTTAAGATCACAAGGTTCCAAATTGGGATCCAGTTTGGGATATGGCTCAACTCTTCAGAGTCGAAGGAACAGCTGAGGGAACAGGTCCCTACCAGCTCCCGAGGTGACTGTACGAAGTCAATTCTCCAGCTGGAAAAGTTGCTGCATGCACACACTATAGTACAGGAAAAGTGCAACAGTCAACTTTCTGTGGAAGGCTTTTTACCTACCTTGATTATATCATTGTAAGTGATGTTACAGATGTATTATTAACATCAAGGAAGGTAAAACAATCACAAGAACACTTAGAGATTTTTACTCAAGCTCTCTCACGTGATCATCCTGTAAGTAATTCTCAAGTGCATCAAGAACAAAGCACAAAACAACTGCGGACCAGTTCCCGCATCAAGTTATTGTATATTCTTAGTTGAGTTGTAACTTTGTAATAGTTCTTCAAGTGTAATTCATACTTAGCTTATTTAGAAGTATTCTGTAGGAAACTTTTGTAAATCTTAAGCCTTTGTGTTTGAGTCTTGGCTAGAGTTTGCGAGTTGTGAAGTCTTTGTAATAGAGTTATTACAAAGTGTCTTGTAATAGAGTATTACAAGTTAGTGAGGTATTGAGAGGTTAATTCCTAGATTGCATAAGTTGTAATCTAAAAGTTGCTCAGTAGTGAAGTTGAAATCCAACAAGGGTAGGTCGTGGGTTTTAATCCCATTGAGCTCAGAATTTTCCACGTAAAATTCCTCTTGTTGTCTACTTACTGTAGTGTGTGTGTGTTCTGTTGAACCTTATAGAGAACCTGGTTCTCTATAGAGTTTGGTGGACCCTTATATTCTATCACGTAGTTTCTTACACTATAGGTAATCCTAACATTCATGCAGATATGACTGAAGCAATAGTTTAATGTCTCAAAACTTCAACGACTATATAAAATAAAATCTACAACTCAACATGTACAACTCCTAAAAGCCGGTAGAAAACAAGTCACAAGCTCTAAGTAGTAGTACCGAATAATCCTATACATTAATGTCTATAAAAATGATAATGAAATAAAGGAATCTAGCTAGAAGGGGAGGCCTGCGGACGCCGGTAGGTATACCTGGAAGTCTCCGCACTTGAGCTCTACTAACACCTGGGCTGGTAGGAGGTACCTGAATCCACATAAAAAGATGTCAAGAACCGTAGATTGAGTACATCACAACAGTACCCAGTAAGTGCCATGCCTAACCTCGGTAGAGTAGTGACGAGGTCAGGTCAAGGCCCTACTGGTTTTTAATAACAAAATCTGCACGAGTATATGACAGTGTAGAAATGATGGACAAGAAATTGAAACAACTAATAACATATCAAGGTAGCTAAACGAAACTAAAGAAATAATACAATACAGAGGGAAGCAAATATTATTATGCTAAGAAAACAACAACCAAAAATAAGTGCAACAATGGAGAAATACCAACAAGAGTCACTACCAAGGTACCGCCTTGTAGTCTCAAATCACAAGAATAAGTCACAATCTTTCCTTATATCACCACAGGAGCCTTTACATTTAGTTTTGAAAATGATTTTCCTGAAATAACATCCTGCGTTTTAGCCCACCTTATCATACCGCATGACTTCTAGTAGTTCCCCGACTAGCCACACCTATCAAGCCCACCTCATCTCACCACATGCGTTCGACCCCAAAATCTTATACCGCCGCATGCGTATCAATATCACAATGTATCACAAATCGCACCTTAAGTGCCCAATATCACAACTTGCCAAAGAAATCAACAATAACAATATTTTCACAATAAGGAGCCCACGGCTCAACCACAATATACACAAAGTCTCAACAATAACAATCGGAAGTGAATAAGTCAACAAGAATAGTATTTCACAAATTAACACTTTGCCTCAATGCAAATTACGTCCCTTATAATTCAATACCAATTTCAACAACAAGATATTCCAAGAATAACAACTTCAAGTAAAGATTTCAAAAATTATGTAATGAATACGGAATAAAGAAAACACGAACTTCAACTAAACGTGTAGAGCAATTAGCAAGTAAGAGATAAAATAAGTAGACATGTGAAAATAGACTAGAAATGATGACTATAACATGTTAAGGTAACTCAATTAAAGCATGAAAGGAATCTATATAGCTAAAACCGATAATTTTCACAGTTAGCCCATATACACACTCATCATCGTGCGTGCTTGGCTTTCACATATCACAATTATACCACAACCAACACAAATCCTAATGGGGAGAATTCCCCACACAAGCTTAGGCAAGTCACTTACCTCAAATAACGCTAACTCAAACTACTAGTAGGCCCTTCCCTTGATTACCCAACTCTGAACAGCTCGAATCTAGCCAAAACAACTTCATAATATAAATATAAACCATAGGAAACTAATTCGAACAATAAAATTACGATCTTTGCAAAGAATCAAAAAGTCCACTCAAAAAGTCAACTCGGGCTTGCGTCTCGGAACCCGACAAAAATTATAAAATCTGAGCACCCATTCGATAACGAGTCCAACCATACAAGAATTACTCATCCGACCTCAAATCACCTTTCAAATCCCCAACTTTCAGCTTGAGGAGTTTTATAAATTTTTCCTCAAATTTCCAACTCAAATCCCTAATTAGATGATAAAAACAACAATAGATTCGTGTAATTTAACAAAAACCAAATTAGGAATTCTTACCCCAACAATCTCTCTAAAAATCTCCCGAACATTCGCCTCACATTGAGCTCTATAAGTCCACAAGTGGATTATGAAACAAACCTACGAAATTTCCCATTTTCTGCCGAGCAAAAGCGTTTCTGCGAGCCTTTCATTGCATCTGCGATGCCGTGATAACTGTGATTTTAACACGTTTTATGCCCATACATGCCTATGCCTTATGTATGAATTGTCATGAAATAGACTCAGAATGCTTACAAAGTGCGCTTGATTGCAGGTTTGAGCGACAAGATGACGAAAGTCAAGAACTAGCTCGAAACGGAGTGAAACCTGCTCAAGTATCAAATATCATTGAAGTAGGGACAGGAGGACCTAGCGCGGACCGCACTGATTTGTTGCGCGGCCGCGCTAGGAGATTCAGAGAGCACCCATTTCAGGAGTCTCCAAGCGCGGTCAACGCTCATTTCTACGCGGTCAGCGCTGGTGTTTACGCGGTCGCGCTTCAATGTTGTGCGGTCCGCGCTCATTAGCCTGTGCGGCCGCGCTACTTCTTTGTGCGGTCCGCGTCCCCA